AGGAGGGGGGAACACACCAATGGAACAAGCTAGAGAAAGGACATGGATGGTCCACCCATCTGCAGCCCTGTCTATTCCCTTCGGAAGCCTTGAGGTCACACGCTCAGGCATGTGCCGGCCAAAGCTCTGGCGCCGTTTCGCGCTGCTGCCCTCACATTGGCCCACAAAGGTTTTGCTGAAAACCACCCTTCGGGGCAATTCAAAGCTTCTTCTTCTTCTTCTTCTTCTTCTTCTTCTTCTTCTTCTTCTTCTTCTTCTTCTTCTTCTTCTTCTTCTTCTTCTTCTTCTTCGTCTTCTTCTTCTTCCTTTGTGGCTGCTCTCGTGAAAAGCCACCCCGTTCAAACCACCCAAACAAAACTCCCTCTAAGGCCAAGTTCTCAGCGTTGCCCCTGGGTCCGCAAATGATCCGTTTGGCCTTTGCCCGATTCCTCATGGTGGTCGTTGCAGGTGGAGAAAGACATGTGCTCGCAACCATCAGGCGTGTATGGTTGGGGTGTCTTTTTGATGCCTCCTGGAAAATTAAGACCCCCAAACCCAACCTGTTCCCGCATTAGCTTTGAGCCGTGGCGAGCGGAAACTCGGAGCGACACTGGCAAGGAGAACCCAATCGATGGACAAACCTGATCCTCTGTGAGAAACCTGCGGGTTGATCTAAAGGGGGTGTAGAGATCCTCCACTTGGGAGGCACCACGATCTTTTAGCCCGGCCTCAGACTGCTCCGACCGGAGGAAGGTGTGACACATCAAGGGGGCACGTGCTAAGCCCAAGATTTGGCAGACCCCCCAGGTTTGTGCTTGGTGGTGTGCCGTTGGAGGAATCCGAATATCACCTTCGGGATGGAGTTGCCGAACCCCTGAAAAGACATCCACCGGGAGGGCTGGAATTCCGGTCGCGCCAGCCATTTCTAGGGGGCCTCAACCAGAGTTTCTAGGGGCTTCCATGTTGGTTTCCTTTTGCTTCCCTTCCAAACCGGTCCGAGGGCTGGCCTAGTTTGAGGCCACAAGGAGCTTCACAAACGGAAGTTGGCGCCAGGCGAGCAATTTTTTCTCTCGGAAGGTCGAAGTGGCAAGGAGAAGAAATCGGACATGTAGCTTCCTGCAAGCTAGGGCCCAGTGAGGAAAGTCAGGGCAAGTTCGCAAAAAACATGGCCCAACCTGCAAACATTGCCAATGGGAACCCCGGAATGTCACGGTTGAGATGCATTAGCTCATTTCGGCGTCCCTCTTTTCCAAGCCCATGGCAAGCCTTCGACCGCCTTCTTCCGCATCTGCGGAATCTCGGGGCTTTCGGAATTTGGCAGGTACCCAACTTACGCATTTCGTGTGTCTGTTTTGAGGCTACCCTTTTTGCTTTTTGGGGTCCCAGGGGGTCCGGGTTTTCCCAGGTTCCCTGAGGGCTCGTCTTTTGAGAGTACCCTGTTCGGGTTGGTGGTAAGGGGAGTGAGAAGGAAACCGTTTTGCGCGATCCCCGATGTTGCAACAAACCCATCACCTGGTCCGAGGCTGCCGGCACGTGGCCGTCGCGCTTGCGCAGCGCCCTTGCTCGAGCGATTCGCCAAGCAGAAACCATGGGGGGCTCCTTCATGTATCACTGCAACTTGGCTCAACCAGCAAAATACAACAGCAAATGAGGTGGCAATATGAGTAGTAAAACAGTACACTACCCATTTGGGGATAACCACGTGTTGTGCAATTGCGGGATGGCATCTTGAGTCTTAACTGAATGGTAACGCATGTGTTGCCAGCCGGACTTGTTTTCCTGCCTGTCAAAGAAAAAAACGCTTTATGCCACATACAAAGACCGGATAATGGTTTCGTAAAACTTTGCGCATATCTGCAAATGCCGTTCCATTACAATATACCTAGAACCTGCAAGGAATCCTCAATTCCATGAGCTCATCATGCTGTGCTCGATCTATGAGGTCAGAGCGCCACCAGCTATTTCAATCAAGGCCAGCGGCCAGTGCCAATGCGGCCAACTGAGCCCAAGGACGTGGGTCCCTGACCGCGGTAACCCCGGCTGGCCCAAAGCCTTGAGTTCTTCTTGTGATCTTAGTTTGCTGATTTAACCCGCCAGGTGACTTTGTTGAATGGCCCATTTTGTGTCAAATTAGGGGGACCCCAAAAATGGTGGTTTTGCCTTTGGCTTCCCTTTCAACCAACCTGAAAAGGGTCTCCTCCAGCACACGCACACGCACACGCACACGCCAACGCCCACGCCCACGCCCACGCCCACGCCCACGCCCACGCCCACGCCCACACACACACACACACACACACACACACACACACACACACACACACACACACACACACACACACACGCCCGCGCGCACGTGCACGCGCGCGCATCGCTGAGGCCGCATCTCATCTCCTCTGGCGGAGGTAGCAGCCTCACAGCACTAAGCGAGTTGAAGCGGGGCGCAAGGTGATCTGTCAAACGGGCATATCATTTGTTGAGGGTACCCTTTTTGGGCTTGTTCCAAAGAGAAACCAAAAGGAAAACAACCAATTTGGGATGTTTCCCGTTTTGAGACAATCCCATATGGGCATGTGAGACTGTGAGACATGGTTAGTTTCTCCTCGAGTGAAATGAGTCCCCTCGAGTCAAATAGGACCCACTTATTTGCTCGGCCAAACTGTTTTTGTGGCCCCAAAATAGGTCAACAACATAGGTCGTGGGGGTGGAGAAAACAGGAAAACGGGGTCCGCGGCGTTCTTTTTAGGGTTCCGGGGTACCCTTTTTAGAGTTGATTCAAAGGCGAACCAATGAGTCCCCTACTTTGAGACAGACCCAAACGAGGGGGGTTCACAAACTGTTCGCATGGTTGGAAAATATACCGCCCTCCCGTGCTTCCCCACTTGTTCAACAGGATTTCACGGACTGCGCCAGCACCCACTTGTCCGACTCTCATGATGCCCACCTTTGCCCTGGCCCCCAACAGCATGGCGCAATCTGGCCAGCCGTTTGCAGCCCAAGGGCGACTGGGACTGAACAGGCCGCTCCAGCAGCCAGCCTGGCTCTGCTAAGGTCGGTTGCAAGTAGTGCATCCCTTGCCGCGGACCGAGCCGCCAGCTTGGCCCCCAAAAGGGTCTTCCTCAAATGTTTTACCCTGAGGTGGGTGAGCTCACGTAATCACTTGAAGAAGGGCATAGCCTCAAGGGAAGTGGCAACTTAAACCCCAGGGCCTTACGATGCGGATGGGTTGTTGGGGGGTGCTTTTCAGGACATTCAACAGGAACCATTTGGAGGTCCGTCCACTTCTCTCAACCCATTTTCCCCCATGGTTTTGGAAGACAAGGATCCCAGAAGAGAAAAGGAAAGTACTTCTAGATGAACTGACCAAGCTGACAAGCTGGCAATCCAGAACCTGAACAAGCCGGAAACGGGACTTGACGAGGAAGAAACTTGCCAAATGGATTTGTCAGTCTAAGTGCACAGGTACTTGACTTCCCGGAAGCGCTGGGAAACAAGTCTGCCGATTGTGGATGCCTTTTTTTGGGATGGGGGGGGCAGGTGAAGGGACTCAAAGTGAAAGCAACCAGTTTGGCCACCTCCAGCAGCAAAACCCGACAAACAGCATCCGCTTTTTTCTCAGAAGACCCTGGAGGGATTCTAATCAACAGGTTCAACCTTGCACTGGAGGCCAATGTGGCTGTGGGTCAGGGTAGGTGCACCACCCATTTTAGTCTATTTTAGTGGGGATTGGGATGCTCACCGGGGTACGGGCTCTTGACCCATGGCCGTGTGTATGGCATCCCAGGTGTTAGAACCTTACTGGGCCCGAAGTACATAGAAGAGCTCCAGAGCCACTCCAGTGCCGCCTTCAGGGCAGATCCCCTCTACATCGAAAGGAGGTGCTTGGGGCCTCTGATTCCATTGATCTACTGTAGTTGTCCAACCACAAAAGGGGGAAATGGTGTCAAGTGGAAATTCCATATGGGTTTGCCTCCGTCCCGACGCAGCCAGTTTAAGTGAGTGGGAGTCGCGACGCAAAACGCCGTGGTGGGTGTGTCCAACCCTTTTTGGGTGTCTTGTCAAAGGAAACCACCCCCGTAAGCTTCGTGGAAGCAACATCCTTCGATTTTCTCTATGCACGAAACTGCCCAGTGCAGCACGTGCCGCCGGGTGTTTTTCTTTGTGCTCTTCCAGCCTAGTCTTTACGGCTTGCCAAAAGCCTCGCCCCCTGCTTCGCAGGCGCGAGGCATCGCATCTCGAATTCCGAGAAAGTGCCTGAAACTCCCTCTCCTGAAAGGCGGTTTGCCTCTTTTGGAGACCCCGGGTTCAGAAACTAAGCAGCCAAGCAACAACTCCCTGAAACCAAAGAAACAAAGCCCCGGAAACAGTTCCTGGCCGCCCCTTGCACTTGTTGCAATGGGCCCGGCAACCCCACTCTACAGTTGACACCCCAAGTAGCACACAGCTGGGAAAAGAGCGAAACAACACCAAAACTCGGCATCAAAACCTCTGTGTGTATGTGTACGTGTGCACACACGCATATATATATATATATATATGTGCGTGTGTATATGTTCATGTATGAGTTGCGCTTTTCGCACACCGCGATCCATTTTGGGATGCCAAATTTGCCTACGTCCGAAGCCAAACGAGCTACTCCAATTCAGCATTCAGTGGCCGGATGGGCACCCAGGATTTGCCTTCTTCAATCGCTTCACAGAAGGACTGTTTTTGGGCTCTTGTGCCACTGATTTACATGTCAAATAGGCGGACCCAAAAAAAATGGGGCCTCCCTTCTGGTTTCCCTGTCAGCACACCCCAAAGCGTCACCAGCGTCGATTCAGGAATGGGATCTTTGTCATATCCATTTTCGGTGAAGTCCCTATACTGATTCCCTCACTGCTTCATGTTCAGGGGATTCCCTAAGAGCATCACAAGCGACAACCAAAAAGACCCGAACCTTGAGCCAAGAGGTCTTGATGGGCTTGGTTCACCTCTCTTGGCCCTTGGCTTTTCTTCAAACTCTATCTTGTCTTGTTTCAGTTGGATCCATATCCTGGGAACCTCTTCAGACAGCCAGACCTTCAGCCCCACCGCAAATTCATCATGCTCTGACTGAAGGAATGCTCAGGCCAGAAGCGCGGGCCGCCCCGGCCCAGGCCCCGCTTGCTGAACCGAGTGTCGGCAGACACGGACCTGCCATTTCCAAAAGAAGATCGGATATCCGGGTGTTCAAAAAGGGGGAGGGGATCCGGAATCCTAATCAGTACTTCGTAATGAGACCTACCATCTGGTATATGGACTAAGGATTGCTGATGAGCCACCCAGGATCTTGCATGCTCTTGAGCCCGGCGAACCCTATGCGGAGGTCGTGCGAGTCGAAGCGCTCTCGCTGTGGCGCCGTGCGAATGTGTCTTGAGCTCGGCGGACCCTCTGCGGAGATCGTGCGTGTCGAGGAGACGCCGTGTGAATTGCGAAGATCGCTCCCGCACCTGCTGCGCAATCGCAACGTTTACGTACGCAAAGCGCACTTCCCCAGCTCCGGCAGTACGCGAACAGCATTTCCGAAGCTCCGGCTGCACATCGCGTGTTTTGTTCGCAGGTAGTCTACACAAAGTGGACTCCCGCAGCTCCGGCTCGAAATTGGCAACTTCTGAGTACAAAAGTCGTTCGCGAAGTACATTCTCTCAGCTAGTACTGGAAGAGCACTCCAGAGCTCGCGAGACCTTTGCACGTAATTAGCCACTTACGATTTTGCAGCCGGAGCTGCGGGAATGCGCTTTGGGTACAACTTTGGGCTTAAAAGCTGCGAGTCCCGCGCCAGAGCCATAGGAACGCACTTCGCACTCCTTTGACACTTACAAGTTGCAACTGCGCACTTCGCGATCGACTTTTGTACTTAAAACTTGCCAATGTCGAGCTGGAGCTGAGGAGCACTTCGTGTACTACTTTGCGCTTCAAAGTTGCGATTCCCAAATTTCAACCTGGAGCTGCGGGAGTTCACTTCCTTTACTACTTTTGTACTTGTCCTCGCGCAGATCCAGCTCAGAAATCACAACTTTCAAGCGCAAAAGTAGTCTGCGAAGCACAACTCTGCAGCTAAAACCGCCAGCCTTCTTGCGCAGCCAAGCTGCGCACAGATATGGACAAGAGAGTTTTAAAGCGAGGACATGAAAGATTTGGCAAGAAAGGTTGCAGGGCATCATGCGCAGCATCATGCGCAGCATCATGTGCTGCATCATGCTTAACATCAAGCACAGCGTCGCCCGCAGCATCAAGCCGCAGCATCGCGCGCATGAGAAGTTGACAGGAGAGATTGTGAAGCATGACGCTAAGCTTGCTCATCAGAACTCGCAGAAGCTACGCTTGGCAAGGACATTGACGTGTTTACGATGTATGTCTCATCACGTGGGACAGGTGTCAGGGTGTTTCTGTGCTTCCGGGACACTTGTCGTGAAGTTAAACTTGCCGGGATTATTTTGGTTTGATGGAGCAAGACGTCGGGTTCCTTCCTCTCTGCAATCCCAAGAGAGCGAAATTTGTCACCGGGACCCCCAGATCTTCCACGTTTACCATTGGGAGGAGGGGGAAGGGCAGGCGTCAACTAAACGGCCCCACCGAAAGAATTGATCTCCGAGCGGCTTCAGCTTCTTCCGGCGCTCATCCATGCCACCTGGCATGGAAACGCCCAAACAAGGCCCAAAACCCGTTTACCTCTCCCACCAACATGTTCATGGAGGTCAAAGATGGGTTGATGTCTCATACTGTTCGACCATGGTGTTGTTTTTCTCCAAGACCGGCTGGTACGGCAGAGTGTTCAGCGGAGTGCTGGAAAGAGGATCTAAATCAGGGCGATGACCAAACATTGCTTAAACGACACCCTGACCCCAAAGGGAAACCAAAAGGAGGTTGTTTGAACAATGCCAAACAATGTTTGAACATCCGCGAGATTGCATTAAGTCCAAAAATGTCCCTTCCCCCCGGGCAGGCCTCCTTATATGTCCCGACCCCCCACCACACCACCCAGAAAGGAACTCATGGAGTGACTGGGGATGGCCGACTTACCTTTCAAACTTTCAAGCCCACTTGGGTGTGTCTTGAGGGTACTCTTTTCTTGGTTGCCATGTTCAAAGGAAAGCCAAACCCCATCACTCTTAAGCTCCAAAACCAAATTTTGACGCATCGAACAAAGGAAACCACCGACCACACCCCGCGTCTTCCGCGTCTTCCGCGTCTTCCGCGTCTTCCGCGTCTTCCGCGTCTTCCGCGCCTGGCAGCGGCTGCGGCGGCTGCGGCGGCGGCGGCCCCGGCGCCGGCAGCCGCGGCTCCGAGCGGCGCAGCTCCAGCTGCGGCAGGCGCCGCGCTGGGGACGGCGCCGAAGGCGCCGACAACTTCTCGGTGAAGGTCGCACGCCTTGCGAGATCTCGGTACAAAACAGCTGCCGGAGGGACGCTGACTCATCGGTGGGGCTGTTTGGGTCGTGCCCTTTGAGAAAGCCCCACAGCCCTGATTGGCGCTTTTGGGCAAGCGTCTGAAAGGATTCGGAGCCGAGTCGGAAGTTTGCGGGGAGAAGTGCAGGTGGACAAAATTGGAGACCCTCTTTGCTTCTTCGTTGGACCCTCGGTTTGGATCCGGATGCTTGTTGGACTGGGAAAGGGAAGCCAAATGGAACCAGACCGCCGAATCATCTAGACGGAGTGGCTCCTTCCCCGGATTGGGATCGCTTCGGGTCTGGGTCTGTCTCAAACAACAATATATTTTGGGGCTCCATGTCAACTTCCAGCGGGGTCCCAAGATCCACTGGGGCCGGCGCATGTCAGCGGCTGGCAACCTCACCCGCTTCTCCGGCCGCGGCGGATCTTCCAATTCGGCGTCTGCGGTCGGCACGAGAAACCGCACACGGAGGGCGCCACAAAACGCCGAGGTTGTCGGCCCTTTCTCGGATTCCCTTTCTGAACAGTCTTTGATTCCTTCTGGGGGCGGAATCAAAGAGTCCCACCTGTGACAGGGTGGCCAAAGGAGTTGCAAAGGCTTCGCAAGGAAAACCTCAGCTTTCCGGGGCTTCGAAGCGACCATTGTCAGGCTTCCTCCAGGACGGTGATCCCACTTAGGAACTTGGACCATGGCACAAAATCTGGTCGGTGCTTCTTCAGGCCAGCCTTTTCTACGGTTGGTTTCAAGGAAATCAAAAGGGGAACCATTATTTTGGGGTGTTGCAATCCCAATTTTGACGCATGCCCATATGGAGCTCCTGCACCCCTATGTGTTTTCCTGTTTGAGGTGGGCGGAGCCAAAACTCATTTGAGGTTGGAACCAAAGGGCAAATCACTTTGGCTTGGCTCAAACAGGGATCCTTACATTATACACCTGAACATTGCCTTGTAAATGGTAGTTTCCCTTTCATTTTGGTGGAAAAAGCCATGTTTCAGATGGGCAAAATGTATCTTTTAAGGAGCCCTGTCAAAAGAAGCACCAAAGGAGGAAAATACAGGGGAACCCTGAAATAGGGAACTGCGATCCCATGGGATTTCTGAGCCTTGCGTCATGAGCCCCCGGTTCACCGCCGTGGTAAACTGCACGCGCTGCAGCACTTGGCGAGCTTTCTCCCGGTCCCTGAGATGGCGAGGGGGTCAAAAAGGAAAACTCCACTGTGGGGTCCTTTTTAGATCTGTCTTTTTGGGAATAGCCTCACACGAACCACCAGAGAGAGGACCAATTTTGAGGCACACTCAATTGTGAGACGCAAACTACTCGATGTTCCTGAACAAACGGCGACCGGACCAAAAAAAGAAAAACCCACGCAGACTTCGTCCACACAGGTGCATGGCCATAAGATCCCATTGGGCAAAAGCTGACAACTGAAAATCAAAGTTCTGAGTGTCCGCTATAGGCTTTCCTAAAGCCCAGGACTTTCAGAGAAGCTGAGAATAGAAGTCTCTCATAATCATCTGATGGTCTCCTATTCTTTGGCACCATGTAAAGAGTCTGAAGGGTGTCCGCACCCATGTATGCTTGGGATTGCTCCTACTGTCCTTGATCTACCCCGGTTTTGACTGTGGCTCACTTCCCTCACAAGCGGAAGGCTTGCCAAAAGATAAATCACAGTTCTGCGCGGGTCCCATCCAACATCATTCTCACAGCCCGGTGTCCGCAAGGGATCGGTTCGCCTAGTGTGGTGGGTGTTCGTTGTTGTTGCACCATCCTCAATCTGCGCCTTATGATTGCAACTTTACAATGTTTTCAGACTCAGAGGGGTCTGCATTGAACTAAATTCAAGGATCCATAAGGGGTCTTCATCCCCTCATCATGCTCGTGCTGCTCCTAAATCGGTCGAATTGCTCGCCAGAATGAGTGCAGAACCCGGGAACCTATGAAAACGTCATACCCTCGGCAGCTTAGCCTCCTATTCCGAACCTGATGTTCCTGAATTCCAAGGAAACCTTCCTTTCGCAAGGATCTTGTGGATTGATTTTGAACCGCCCATCAATTGCAGCATCCCAAGAAGTGATAACTGCCGCCGCAATCAGAATTAATCCGGGTCCCTGCTAAATCCTGAAATCCTACCATTTGCTCACTTCGTCTAACATTCACTTGGGTGCCTTTTCAGAGGATATCATGTTTGCCATAAATTTGAGAGAAACCCTCAAAGGAAAATGCCATTGTGCGGGGTTCCCTGACTAAGGGTGCCATTCGCGTTTTAACGAGCGCTTTGGCCCATGGAGGGCCCCTTGAGATTCCTTGTCCAGTTCGAGCCATGATTCATGCTGACCCATGATTCACTCGGATCCTCTTACGTAGTTGGGATTGCGCGGTCTAGTACTGTGTATATTCCTGGATTCCCATTTGCCCCTTTCAAGTTGATCAGAAAGGAGTTGCACCCTTGTTGAGGGACGGTGATAGTTCATTCCCGCAAAATCCAAAGTCGGTGTGTCTGAAAATGTAGGGGGAAGCAAAAACCACTCCTCACCTTTGGTGCATGTCGCTTGGATGTTAGGACTTTAACTTTTTGCCAACTAATGGGTTTTCAATTCAACCACTAAACAGTAAAATTTAGGGGAGCAGAAAGCAACCGAGTCACCCTAGCAAGGGGGATTGGGATGGTGCTGTTGCCGACGCAGTGGCGTGGTGGTGTCCAGGAAGTGGCCCCCGTAACTGTTGCCGTCCAACTGGAGGTCGGCCCTGGTCTTCAAATACCACCTCAGCATCCAAGAGACGCCGAAGAAAATGTCTGTTTCGGAGTTGGCTATTATGTATATATATATATATATATATATGTATATACACATATGTATATATATATATATATATACATATATTAACATTGCTTCAGGTTCTTGTGGCACGGGTAGCCTTTTGGCGGGCATCTTGGTTTGTTTCGGTTTTTGGGGTGCTACCTTTTTGTGCGACTTGTTCGCGGCATCAAAAGGAAAGCGGCACCCTTCGGGCAACCCTTTGACCCACACCCAGCGGCTGGCGAGCAGGGTCCCTCACACCTTTTGCGGGTTGAGCGGAATTGCTTCCAGGGATTTGTCCAAGGACCACAGGGTCGATTGAACCCGAAAAGTTTTTGTTGGGGGGGGTCCATGGAGGTCGACCCCAATTGTGTCTTTTCCGACCAGCCGATGGACAAAGGACAATGCTCTCCGCCGCACGAACGAGAACTATTTGGCCGACTTTGGGAGCTGGCACCATCCTGCAAAATGCACGAAGGCACAGAGCGCCCAGTGTTGGAGCAAAGAACGAGGAGTGCTCTCAACAGCTCTGGCCAAAATGTCAGCAAGGATGGAACTTGATCGGGACTGTCGGGCGCAAGGGGCTTCTTCCGCCGGGTTGATTCATGCCGGGTGAACTATTTTGTCCCCCCCCCCCCCCGACCCAGGCCATACCATCCCACGTTGGGTCCTTTGGTACCCTTTCAGGATGGTTTTGGTCAGTAAGGGCTCATTTCCTCCGAAAGGACCCAGGACCCCTCAAAATTGGCGGTCTTTCTGATGTTGCCCCGAAAAGAAAACAAAGAAAAACGAGAGGGTACCTACCTGCCGCACCCTCGATACCGTCCCGCCGGCCCAAGGCGCCGGTCCACAGGCCGCACCGGGTAGTTCTCCCCCGCCACGCTGGTGCTGAGCTCGTGGGCCCGCGCCATGGCGAACGCTTCGCGCACCCCGCGCGCGCACGCCGCCGCGACGGGGTCGGTCGGAGGATCTTCGCCGTGCGAGGGACAATGGGGGGCGAATTTTCCGGGTGGAATTTTGACCTTCCGAACTTGGATCAAAGAAGGATTCGGAGTGTGGGTGGGAAATGCACCTTTTTGCAGTCGCCAAGAAGCTGAAAGGCATCTTTTTGCTGCCAAAAAACAGACGCTTCTGGTCGAATAAAGACTTTCTTGACCGCTCCAGCGCCTCTTGCCTTGCAGCCCTCCGGCCCTGAGGAAAGATGCCGCGGACACAATCACTGGTGAGAGGAGTTGGCAAAGGAATCCCAAGAGGAAATCTAGATCTCACAACGACCCACACATTTTTGGGCAAAACGGTAGTCTAAAAGCTAGTCTAGAGGAAAGCTTTGACCTGTTGCAGACATTTGAGGTAGTCGTCAAAGGATCGCCCTGCCGATGAGCTTTCATGAATCCAAAGATTGGCCATCACCGCCAACGGTGTAAACCTCTTGGCTTCACAAAATGTATCTTGTTTCTTTGTGGAATGAGTCACCAAGTTCCGAAATCTTCCAGGCTCACCAAGACACGCACGCAGAAGCCAATCGCCTAGCTCCTGGGTGGTGGTCATGGGAGTGTCGAACCTTAGTCGTTCGAGGCCTCATCGCGAGGCGAGACGATGCACCGCCCACCATGCTAGGAAAGTTCCTCGGAAAGCGTCACAAAACCCCGACAACCGCATCATGGGTCAGTGGGGTGTCACAGGGTGGTTCAGCGAACCTCATCGGGCGCTGAACAAGTGGAAAACAAACAAAACACCACGGTGTCGCCAGAAAATAACAATGCTTGACTGGGGCGCACACTTACCGTACATGAATAAAAACGTAGCAGGAAGGCAGGGAGCAGTTGCCGAATTCCCTTCATGTGGCCATGACTAAACTAAAACCTTGGCTTTTACCCAACTATAACCCCCAATTCCACAGCCACTTGCGACCAGACCTTCCGCTTGCACTCCTGGTGGCCAAGAGAAAGCTCCACCCTTAGGTCAAGAAACGCCATCTCCATGACTAGTGAAGTCGGAGGGTCCCAATGTCCATGATAAACTTGCTAAACTAGCAAGTCCCTTCAAGAGGAAATTGAGCTCAGGTGCCAGGAAGGTCTTGGAAGGTGACCCCGGCGACTTCCATGAACTCTTGCAGAGAAGAAATGCACGAAACGGCAAAACCAACTGAAGCTACAAAATGCTACTGGAAGATGTCCCAGGCCAATGTTAAAAGTTTGACCAGGATCGAAGGAAGCTTAAACTGGCCTGACTTTAAATTTTCTAAGAGGACCTCCCAAACGCCTGCAGACCACAAAGTTCAACAGCGTTGCCCATAGTCCCTCTTCAGATATCACAAAAGGAAACATCACTTGAAATTGGAAACCAGCAAAGTGATGTTTAAACCAACCGAGAGGGGAAATCTAGCCCTGAGCTCTTCAAACCTCAAGGACCCCACACCTCGTTTTGAGGTCTGGTCCTACTCTGGCTCATCTTTTTGCTTCTGATATGAGTCAACAGTCAAACCCCACTGTGGATGGACGAAATCCATTTCGCACCACTTGGAAACCATGGGTTTCCCAGGAGAACCATCCTTACAGGAGAACCATCCTTCCAGGCTTTCTGTGGCGCGAAATGGATTCCGTCCATCCACAGGGGCCCTTTGAGGCCCCAAAGGCCTTGGAAATGCTTCGGACCAGGGGCTTCTCCTGGGGCTTCTTGGCCATGTGCCTGATGGCCAGCACCTGGCAGGCCATGCTCCTTGGAATGCGGCTCAACATCGAAGAGCCAGGGGACCGCAGGTTTTAGTCGTTGTGTCCATTTAGGGCTAGCCATTTTGGGGGTACCCCATTTTTGACCCAGCCAAATGAAAGGAACCAAAGGGGGTTTGGATGGAGCGCACCCTGTGCTTTCGGTTGTCACGCGTTCCGTGTTCAACCCAGGTTGAACTCAGGTTGAATCCGGTCCGCGCCCCCTAGTTTTCTATGCACGTCTTCGACCTTTTTGGCCCGACGAGTATGTTCACAATACATTCACCCAGCAGAAACCTCAATGACCATCAGATAGGGACCGTTTCTTTTTGGAATGCTTCACATCAGGTGGCCCAAAGAAACGTTGGTCGCCAATCCCGATCAGAAGGAACCTAAAATACAAGGCTCCACTTCCTAAAACCTGGACTTCCAGTTGGACAGCAAATCATGTGTGCCTCGGTCAAAAAAGTCCGGAGATGCAAAACGGAAAACCTTTACAACAGTTCTCCCGATTCCCCCAAAAGACCATCGATGCTGACCCCAAGCAATTTTGACCATGGCGCATTTGGCAGCGCACATGTCTAGCTGTACGCTTCTTTTCCATTCTCTTCAGGGATCCTTCTGTCAGGAAATTGCTCAAACGACGAGGGAAACCTGAAAGGACCAATGGTTGAAGAGAGTGATTAAAAACCAGCCTTTAGAACATGTCTTGCGTCGATGTGCCCAAGCTATTGACTCCCGCGCGGACTAACCACTTAAAACACATGGCGTGAGACGAACTTGTGGCTGTCATAGACAAGAAAACAAACGCTGTCCCGTGCCCTCTTGCTTTTATGTGGTCCACGCACGCGGTGCAACAGTTTGCCAGGTCCGTACCTGGCTGACTACCAGCTCAATCTGGGAAAGTGACTATGCGCAAACCGGAAACCAGAAATCCCCAAGGGAAGGACCACCACGAAGCTTGCTGTACCCCGAATCAGTGAGCTCGTTCCTCTTTCGCACCATGCCCCAAGGACAAGACAGATCCCCCCCGCGAAACAAAGTTGATTGAGGAGCTGAGTCCAAAGGGCGGCAAAAACACAGCTGCAAAGAAGCGTGCCCGCCAACTCGAATTCGCGCCTCCATGCTGTTTGGATCCATGCCCTCTGCAGACATGCGCTGCTGGGGCGACTGCTTGATCTCCTGAAAAGGGCACACTGGAACCAAGGATCAATAAGCCCAGGAATTCCACACCACATCTTCATCCGGGCTCAACATTCAACCCTCAAGAGTTAGCACAGACCATAAGTCACCAACCTGAAACGAGCCAACAGAGAAACCTTCATGTTGGTTGTGCTCACTTTGCCTCTTGAGCTCGCTAGTCTCTCGGATGGCTCGTTTTGGCCGCTGGAAACTGGAGCTCGCAATGGCTGCTCGTCCCCAAAGAAGTGGACGGCCACACCCGCGTAACGCATTAGGGGCAACCACAGACCACAGGGCTGGGGTGTCCAAATTTGGTCATTGCCTGTGCTCATTGTCAGGTCTTCTCGCACCCTCGACCTCATTGGCATCGGCAGAGCAATGTGCCGGAAGTAATGGAGTCAGGGGTTGACTGTAAAATTGAAGAATTACAAACGTCTGCCAATCCCAGATTGGTGACTTGGATTTGGCTGGCTCCAACCCGCCCGGGGAACCCTTCTGAAGGAGCGATACCAAAGTGGAATTTCCCATCCCACGTCGTTTCTCATCACTTGGGAGGGGGAACTCTCCGGGCCCTCACACAAATCAGTTGTAAGACCCCCTGTTCTTCTGCATGTCCTTCTCCACGACAGTTTCCAGGCGATTGTGGGCGTGCCTCGGGCAACTTTTGGATCGATCTCCGGGGGCACGGTTTGTTGCTACGCCACCTTCCGACGCTTGCTGAACATCTCTTGCGCTACGGCACCTCCATTTTGGGTCCCAAGAAGACTGCTCAGCGTTGCCGCTGGTGCCTTCCGGTTGGAGGGGAGGGTTGGTTGCTGAGTCCACCCCCACATCCCTACTTGAACCATAGACTGGACATGTTGACCGAACCTCACACAAGGAAAGACTTTGGAGGACGACCCAGAGGACCCCCAGCGTCATGCCCCCCGCTTCGGTCAAAATGCTGCAAGTGTGAAACAGGTGTCGAAACACATGTTAAAACACGCGTCAAACATGTGATCGCTACGTCCCAAACATGTGCCGAACATGTGGCGAGCATGTGTCAAACATGTGTCACACATGTCGAGCCCGTGTCGAGCGTGTGTCAAGCATGCCATCAAACATGTGTTCAACATATGTCAAGATTTGTGTTCAGCAGGTGTCACGCCAAACAAGTGTAAAACATGTGTCGGACAAGTGTCGAAAACAATCCTTCCACTGTGCAGCACTGCGTCACCAGCTGAATTCGCAAAAAAACAGCGGCAACTGGGAACAGCTATTACAAAGGCGCGGCAGTGGCAGAGTTACTAAACAAGCAGGGTGCCAGTCAAAGAAACGTCGTTTCTCGCACAGTTGGTAAGCCAGAAGCATGAACGGGTTTGTGCCTGGCGTCAACATGGCTTACAAGCTGTCAACGTCTGTCGAATATGGCCTTGCTCTGGGACTCTGAAAAAGCAGTAGCCTTTGGCTTGCGGTTCTGCCAACGGCTAAACCCTCGCCTTTCTGGGTGGTACCACACACAAGGAACCCCTTTTGGTTGGCTTTTGAAGGGAAGCCAGGCTGAACCTCCAATTGAAATCAAGAGGTAGTTGCCTTTTGATCCTTCGTTTGACAAAAGAAGAAGGAAACCAAGAACCCTGTGTTTTTCAGTGTTTGAAGACCTAGGTTACCAAGTGAACCATGCTTTCGAGTGATACCCTTTCCCTCTCAAAGGAACACCAAAGATCCGCCTCTAACAACTGGGATCTGCCAGCATGGAAACTTGGTACTAGTTCGGGTTTGATCCATCGGGTTCACGACTTAGGTGGTTCTGCAGGGAAGCATTCATAGCCATTTGGGTCAAATACCCGGGCAACCCATTTTGGGCACATCCCCGACTCCCCGACTGTTGACTAAACACACCAGTTGGGCACTCACAAGCACAGCCTTTCGATTTTCCAACAGGCACCAAGGGCGCTATGAGCGTGCAGGCAGCATGCGCCAGCGAGAACTACTCACTGACTGTTGGGCTGTTGGGTTGAGCCAATGGCTCGACATGATCACTCAAAAGCTGGCAGCACAGGCACGAATTTCTCGTTGATCCTCCCACGCCCCATTCCTGAGGGGAATTCGGAGGCCGCCCC